CTGCAGGGAGTAACCCTAAGGGTACTCAAAGGAATGAAATCTGGCAGGTAGATGTGTTCCACCTTATGAAATTTGGTAAATTAAAATATGTGCACCACACCATAGACACGTATTCAGGTTTTCAATGGGCTACTGCCCTGAGCTCAGAAAAGGCTGATTCAGTAACCACACACTTATTAGAAGTTATAGTATCATGGGCATTCCTGCACAAATAAAGACAGACAATGGTCCAGCATATTTATCTAATAAAATGAAACGTTTTCTTGCCTACTATAATATAAAGCACATTACAGGTATACCAAATAATCCTACAGGTCAGGGAGTTATAGAAAGGTCAAATAGAACTATAAAGAATATGCTGAACAAACAAACAGGAATGGAAAATACCCCCAAAATGATTGCATAATGCTTTATTAACCTCGAATTTTCTTAACGTTAATGAGAAAGGAAAAAAAAAAAACAGCAGCAGAGAGGCATTGGATAATGAAAAAAACTTCTGAATTGAATTAACCAGTGTATTTCAAGGATGTGTTGACCTCACAATGGAAACCAGATGTGTTATGTTGGGGAAGGGGTTTTGCTCTTGTTTACACAGAAGACAAACTATGGATACCATCACAATTAATAAAGATTTGCATTAAAAGGAGAAACCTCTTCAAAAAGTGAAATGACAGCTCATCCACAATGGTGACAACCATATAGGTGGTAAGGAAACCATATAGGGTTGGGGCAGGGTTCTGTTCTTATCTTTACAGGAAAGGAGACAGAGCAGTTATTTCCCTCACACGTTCAGGAGCTACTCGGAGAAGCTGCATCTGTGCTTGTGTAATTGGCGTATTAGAGTTTGCAAACCTTGGCTTTAGTCTCCTTCTAGGTGAAAATATTTTCGTGGATCGTCTTCTAGTGTGTGAGTGTTCAGGAAGTTCCCTTAGCCCTGCTAACCAGAACCCTGGAGGGGAGATATATAATGAAAAAATCTCTTCCTACGTCTTGGTTATATAGCAATTTCCTGAGTTGATAATTTCCTTTCTACAAGGGAGCTGCTTAAAACCCCTGAAGCAAATAATTATGACACCTCATCGTGTCTCAGGAAAAAAAAAAAGATTCTATAGATCCCTTCATCTCCAAATTGTGAAGACTCTCAGATAATCTAAGTTGCCTGGAAGAGGCTCGGATGAGCCCAGCTGCCTGGAAGACACACTTTGCCCTACAGCTCCCCTCAAATTGTGCAGTGCACTTCAGGGTCCCAGCTTTCCTGAGATGTGGCACAAGCAGGCTTTGGAGATGCAGCTCTCTTGGAGTCGTTTCTGCTCCCATAAGTAAGCTCTCACTTGTACTCTTGTAAGAAACCTCAATAATCTAATTGGTTCATCAAATCTGACTTTGGTCATATTCTTTTTGTAGATTCCCTATTGGAGTGAGCCTAGCAATAGTGCCACAAGGGCTTTATGTTGGCAAGTGGGTTGGGAGCGATGAATGATCACCACCCATTGTGGATGCCTACAGTCAGTTTCCCAGGTGCCATAAGTAGCCTTTGGTTGTGAATGGCAGTAGTAATGGTGAAGCTAGGGGCAACGATTGGGCAGGGGTAGGGAGCTGACTTATAAATCATAGGGTAGAATGGACGTGAACAGTGCCACCGTTGCTGTAATAGAAACAGTAGCAATTATACTCTACGTAGTTTCCTGAAAGCTGCACACCATTTTAACAAATGCATGTAGATTCTTTACATCTTCACTACAATAGCCCAAAGCCCCAAAGCCAATTATAAATTTTCCTCATTTGGCAAGTGAAGAAACTGTTTTCTGGAGCCAGGATCACTTGGATGATGAAATGCAGGATCTAGAAACTCAAATCTGCACCTTTTAAAACCTGGAGCCGAATACCTGCATAAACTTCTCTGTCTTTGAGATTACAGGGAAGGGCTGACATAACTGGGAAGCACACTTGTAGATACAAGGCATTTTTAGACAAGGACAAGAAATGTATGCCAAGTGGCATAAATCATATGTATGATTTACATAATCGTATCTTGTTACAGGCAGGGGTACGTTCTGAGAAATGTGTGATTAATCAATTCCATTATTGAAGTAGTGGCTAGAGTTTGTTTACACAAGTGTAGATGGTACAATCCATCATACATACAGGCTATGTGCTGTACCCTGCCAAATGTGCAGTCTGGTAAAATGGAGAACAGGAGAGGGTGAGACGGATTTTAGAGATTGGGAGAAGTAATACAACAGCACATTCATGTACCTACTTCTGGGATTCTGAGAAGCACGGGGGATGAATGAGAACACAAGCAGTAGTGAGGGAGGGATGGGGACATTTGCAGTGCTCAGGTTGGAGGTGATGCCCATCTGACTCAGAAGAGGATAGACCAAGGCGTGTGAAGGTGAGTCACGACGCAGTAGGACCTCACCATGTCTTGAGGAGTCAGAAAGAACCATCCTGAGATTTCACGCCTGGGTCCTTCCAGGATTAGCGTGTTACAGAAGATGGGGCATGGAAGAAAACTAATTGAGAGGCAAGATTACTTCAAATTGATGCGAACTGATTTTGAGGAACTGGACTTGAGAGGCATCAGGCTGCCTGTCTACAAACTAAGAGTGTTGCACTAAAGCAAGGTTGGCTTTTGTCATAGCTGAGCCATTTGATGGCGCATAGATTGCTGGTGAGGGTGTGATATTAAGGCATTGGATGAGGAAGTTGCAGCACAGAAAAGGAGAAAAGGTAAAAAGGCTTGTGGATAAACACCCGCTGCGGAGTGTGAAGGGAACAAAGCAGGCAGAGAAAGCTACTGTACTGTAGTAGACAAAGGAACTAAGAGGAACTAAAGGGAACATAGCAGGGCAGGTTAGGGACAACTTCAGCCGGGGCAAAAAAAAAAAAAAGCACTTCCAAAATAGTCTTAATACTAGTTGATGACAGATTTCAAGAGTTAAAACTTAATTGCAAAGTTTTGTTGAAAGTTTAAAAAAAAATGCATGCACAAAATTGTTCTTCTAGAAATAAAAAACAAAATAAAATGCATTTTGTACCTGTTAAAAGAAAAAAAAAGAAGTCAGAGTTACAAACAGTAAGAAATCAGCAAGCTAGTAAAAGGAAGGAGCTCAGGAGGAGCCGCTTCTTCACAGAAGGCTTCCCCGCTATGGTGACCCTGACAACTAGTGAGGACTGAGTTTTCCTAAGGTCTTACTTTGGGTTTTTGTTTAAAAGACTAAGGTCAACAATGAAATTTGGTTAGTAGTGCCCAAGACCTGGCTTGAACACACACACACACACACACACAAATTATGAGGATTTTTCTGTCATTCCAGACTTGAAAAGTTCCAAAGATAGAATAAAATGAAGGGCAAAGAGAGGATAGGAAAGAAAGATATTGACTGTATCTTAATTAGTCTTGTGACTCACAAACAAACAAACTAAAAGTTATTGGGATTTAAAGTTTGGTTTAAAACCACTTCAATCAAAATCTCACTGGAATTTTTTCCAAAACAAGCACGGCATATTGTTTTGTCAATCTTGGTTCCAACTCAGATGTGAGTATATAAAGTGGAGGAATGGCAGAAACCAGAAGAGTAAAAAGGGACCCTGCACGTTGGGGAGAAAGAGCTCTGAGAAAAGAACAGAAATTAGCAAAGAATGCCTGTGGCAGGGACTTCTGTCCAGCTTCACCATAAGTCATAAACTGCATCAAAGTAAGTAAAGGAAAACGAGAACAATGACAGCAAAACCAAGAATGGAGAGGAACAAATACATTGCTTATTGGTAACCTGACTGGGGAACCAAGTGTTCTAGTATGTCCTCAGGTTATCAGAATGGATAAAAAGTGTAGGTGAGAAATTTATTCTATTATCATTCAACAGCAATAGAGAGAAAAAATATCAAAAGTGATTTTGAAGCATCATAACTTCTCACTTATTGAACCATTACATAGAAAGTTATAAAAGCTTTGAGAGACTATAAAGAAACCCTCGAAAAGTGGAAGGATAGAAGGTATCTACGGAGTTGAAGAGCCATTGTTCTGCATCTGCTGCTTTTTCTCTGCTTGCTCTGCAGGTCAAACTAAAACAGTGTTGGGCTATTTTTGGTGGCATTTATGAACTTGTTCTAAAACCCACATAGGAACATGAAGCCCAAGAATGAGCAAATCACGTTCAATCAAGGACAAGATGGGAATCTTCCAGAGTCAGATGTAAGGCCAGTGCGGAGCAATTGCAGCCCACAGCGTGGCACAAACACAGTGTTAGCAGCACAGATCCTTGAGAAGGGGAGGGGGCTCAGAAATTAACCCCACACAGACAGACATGTGACTAGAAACAGTGTTACACACAACATGTTGTAAAGGTCTATTGACCAAGATGAGTGACAAGGGACAATTTTTTTTTCAGAAATGGCCCTGGGGCAAGTGAACTTCCAAGTGAAAAAACAGGAAATTCGACAAATACTATTTCCCTTCATGTGAAAATATCATTTCTGCCAGACTATAAAATAGGAGAAACAAAAACGTTGACAATACAGACGGTCTCATGGACATGGGACATGTCAATAAGAACATGCTCTTAAGACAGAAAAAGTACATTCATGGAATCCATGTTAAGTTACAGGTAAGAACTTCTGTTTAACAGGAAGTCAAATTAGTGAAAATAAACCACAGAATCAAAGAAGGTCTTGCAAGCTGCTTATCCATTGAGAGCCCACATCTGGATGTGCATAGAAAGCAGTCATATAAATTCATAATGGAGAAGAGGTGAGCAGCTGAAGACAGACCCAAGAAAATGTATTAAAGGAGAGACAAAAGTGCTACTTGGAAACATTCTCAGTTTAATTCACAGCTACTGAAAGAGGTTGGCAAGCTCTACTATACCAATAGAAAATAATAACAATTATATATGTATTCTCAGTACAATATACTATCCATATATCAAAACACAGACTGAGTGACCATGAAGGACAAAAGGACAAATAAATAAATACATGTTTCTATGCCATCTTACCATATGGGAGTAAAATCAGATGAGGCCAGATATCCTCCCCAACCAAACTTTACATTCTGTAAAACAGGCAAGTAGCAAAGATTCCATAAATGATGTATCACTCACATAAGTTTCAACTAGCCAAACACAGTCATCAGGAAACACACACACACGCATGCTTGAATACATGCACACACACACATGCATGTACACACTTACAAGCACCAATGCATGCATGCACACACAATTTGATAAAACAATTTTTAAGAGTATGGTGGCGATAAATATATAGCATCAGAGTTCAGATTAAATTTAACGTTTGATATTGAAGGAGGATAGAGAAGTTAGAGAAAATACTTTGAATAAACTATGACTTCTACTTTATAAAGCTGATTTGTTATTTTTGTATGTTATACACATATTATATTCCTTTCTGTACATGTAATCATTATTTTTCTTTAAAGCAGCAGATGATGAATAAGGAGGAATAGGAATAATAAGCTTTCTTTCTACTCTTTATATCAACAGTGGCAATAATCTAGATGAATGAAGAGTTACTTGGGAAGGGCTTTGTATGCTCTAGAGGCAGTGTCGTGAGGACAGGGAAGATGGGGAGAAGTCTGTTGACGACCACAGGAATCAACTACTGAAAGAATAGTTGTAGATGCCAAGACAGGAAGAGAGACAAGATGCTCTCTCCTCCCGTCTCCACGTTCCTTCTCCTCTGCTGTTATTACCATACCTTCTCTCTCTTCTCTGTAGAAGAAGCCCCCTCTAATCTCTTAGTACTGAGGTGCACCAGAACTGTGCAAAGAACTTAATTCCAATATGTAAAATGTTAGCTAACGCAGTGTCCTATAAACTAATGACTATTAAGTATATATGTGAATGCTCCTACTTTTTAAAATCAGAAATACAAGATTCTAAAGCAAGAGAGCTTTAACCTTTGTGGTGGAGTTGAAATCAATTTGAACCTTTGGATTTCAACAACAACACTGTGTTTTTAAGGAACAGTATTCTATTTGTTCTCGCTTGAAAGCATTGAATTATCATATATCCTTTATTAGAAACTCAATTAGAAGTCAACCCCATTGATTTGATTATAGATTCACATTTACCATATGGTAGGTAAGGAGGGAGTAATGCTGTTTAAAAATAATCATAGCGATTGCATGCCTTATATAAATAATACACAGCAAATGGTATTTAGGAAGACTTCCTTCTCTAACGCATGGTCCGTACGTTGCTCATAACTTACTTGTGTATAGATGCAAACATGTGCAGTTCTTAGATTCTACTAGGATTTCTGGCTTAATTTTCATTTCTTTTTCTTTTCTTTTTTTCTCAGAATGGTTTCTGGGGCTGGGGCTGAACTTTTCTAGTTGCCCACTAAGGTCTTTCATGGATTAATTTATTTAGGAATACACATGACTCAAATAAGAACAATGTAAACAATAGTACAATGTTCGTGGAAAACGTTAGTAAAAATTTCTGACGTCTGAAGTGTGCTTTGTGTATGAAACTTGGGGAAAAGGACTAGACAAAGACTGTGGATTTAAATTTTTTCTCATTTAGCGTTTTAATTCTGAAAACCTGCTGGGAGGGCAGGCAGGTGTTAATGAGCAGCCAAGAGCCCGCTGAGGCCGCACTGATCAGAGGGCAGCTTGCACTACTCACTGCAAAGCGCAGGAACCATCTACACTGCATCATTACAAACACACTGTGATGGCTGAGGCAGATGTTTTGGGTGCTCTCATACCCTTGCCTCCTTTCAGACTGTACTCTCCCAAATAAAGCTAAACAGTTTGCACATGTGCTTGCTCTCTGCTGGAAAGGGCAGTCAACCCCGAGAGCTCAAGAAGGTCTTCTACAATGCCCAAAGAAGGTGGTTCAGACCCAGGATCTTCTTTCCTGAGTTATATTTATTTCCACAGATTTTCCTTATTATAAAATCTAAACTCACTCAGCATAGAAATTCTTGACTACAGTATGTCATTTTCTTATTATCTCTCACCCTTTCTAGCTACCTCCCAGGATTCCATCCTCTCCAGATACACTATGTCCTCAAGCCTTTGAACTTCTGTACATGACTCGCTGGGATGTAATTCCCTCCTCGTGTCTCTGATAAGAAAGTAAAATAAAACAACATACATGTAACAGTACTTGATTTGTCCAACCTAATGATTCTCTGCCCCGATCGTGGTCCAGTTAAAAACCCACTCTATGTGAAGCGTTTTATTCTGTCAGGACAGAAATGTCTCCTGTGTTCATAGTTCCACTTCTATTTGCCACATTCTGCTCATTTCTTTTTTTCCAGTGTGTCTTCCTGGGTTGTTAGCTTCTCAGGGGATAGCAATTCTCTTCATCTGTGCCATCTCAGAAGGCACTGTAGGGTCTCAACAGATAGACTGCAGCTGACTAAATGAATGGGAAAGCTGGAGTCTAGGACAAGTAGTAAGAAAGGCACAGGTGTAAAGAGGATTCTATTAGATGGTGTATGGATTCATATATGTGATAAGTGCGGCAAGTAAGGCACAGGCTCGGCAACAAAGACTAGAGAGTAGAAGGCCAAGCCCTCAAGGTCCGATAGGGCAGGGATGGTTCTACTGCTGCCCCTACAAGGGTGGCTAAGAAGACTTTTCAAGGGTCCTTTGAACAATGACTGATTAAGTTATTTTATTAAAACGGCAGAAGCACATTATTACATTTAAAAGACTTCTTTTTTCTCAACTTAGGGGCACAGATGAGCACCAGTGAGAACGTTTCTGCATAGCTACATTTTAGTTCTCTGTCATGAGGCCTGCACAACTGACCTTGAAGACCCCGTGAGTAGGCCAGAATTGCAAGGTTATTGCTACCAGGTCTAACAGAGTTAGTGCAAGTGTTGTAAATGTTGACAAGCTGCTTCATTTGGCAAGATTTAGGAGAGTAAAATGCAATGAATGAGAAAGGTAAACCTTTCAACTTTATAATTCATCCACACTAGGGCAGAGAAACAAAGGTACTCTTAAGCAGAACAATTCACATCTATGTGCTTCATTTAGGTCTGGGCAGGGGCCTCAGCAGTGAAAGGCCATGCAAAGTTTATGAGCTCAGTCTGACGCCCGGACCCACACAAAGGCAGGAGAACAGAAAGCCCTCCACAAGCTTGTCTTCTGACATCTCCATGTACTTTTGTCTTGTCAGTACCCACACATATCATATACATGTGTACACACACACACACACACACACACACACTAAAAGCCCATGAAAGAGTAAGAAAAACTAGTAAGTAAGTTCTCCATTTAGGTTTTTCTTTCATGTTTTTCTCTGGTTCTGAGAATGGGCAAACCTATCTGCAGTTCTTTATTTGATGTTTTCCCCTTGTAACCAAGACATAAGAGGAATGCTGGCTTGCAAATCACTCACTGTAGTGCAAACTTGTAATGTGCTGTTATAGAAGTCATTTGGTCTTTCTGGCCCCCATTTTTTTAACTACAAAATGAGACTCCTACTGGCTGCCTATGATCATACCCAAAGTATATGTAAAAACAGAAAACATGGTAAGTCAGAGGCAGGTTGCTTCGCTTGATGGAGACCCTATAAGTAGAACTGCTTCACATTTTGAAGGAGTAGCTATTTTTTTCCTCCCCTCAAAATGCTACTGCAAAAGTAAAAGCAACTCAACAATCTTAAAATAACCAAAGCCATAACTTTGGGGCATCAATCAAACATAATCTAAAACGAGCAACAGAGAATTGTGGTGGAATGTTTGATATTAGTCTCTAGGGAACCCTTGCAAGCCCAGATTGTTGGAAACTTGATGTTTTGTGTGGAGAGTTCAAACATGAATTCTCCTGAGAGCCAGGGAAGTACTCTCCCATGAAACAGAGCAGCTGACTAGACCGTTCCATCTGCTAATTTATTCTGTGGAGATGAACAAAGAGTGAAAAGGCACTTTGTATGGTTTCATGGAGAAATTACTTTTAGAATGGTGCTGTGGTGGTAGCCAGGAACTGAAACAGTTGAAATAATAGCATTCTCACCAAGGCAAGTGCAAAACATTTTTCAGGTATTTTACTCTTCAGGAACAAAAGACCGAAACAATTCATAGGTTTCATACTACCCTTGATTTATACACTGGTGTATAAACAACTCTCAAGATCAGAAAAATCTTGTCCTTAAAGTAACTTCATCTCCATGTCCAAACCATTTCCCAACTTTTTTTTAGATACATCATTACAAAAGGAACAATGGACAATTCAGAAGGTGCAATGTAAATCTGTCTTTCCATTCCATGTATTCTTGCCTGATCATTCCTGGAAAAGATGTTTCAGAAAAGCAAAACCAGTTCCTGGATTGTCTTAGTCTCTTTGAGGCCTTTTGGGGAACCTTAGCATCAGGCCTCATTAAAGGCAAGAAGCAATTTAAAAAGCTAATTTATCTAATAGTATAACACAGGCTCAGCGTCTGTCAGGGACAATGCAATGCTGTTCCTAGTGATGGAGTCTATCAGGACAAATCTAATACACACTAGCAAGGGTCCTCCATCTCTGTATGCTCCTTGGATGGTCAGCAAGCAATCTGTAAAATTTCAGAAAACTATTAATCATGTCAGGGCTTTGATTTTTACTTGGTTTTTGGTCATCCTTTCTAGTTGGAAATTGCTTCATTGTATTCCTAACTACTGCCGTCTGGCGGTTGAATGGAGCCGTGCTGGACAGTCATCAATCTGCCCTCCCAACACTGTTCTTAATGGTTTCCCTTAATGGTATCCCAATGACAAATGCAAGCTTGCCAGCGAGAAGTGTTATCTGACACTGTAGAAATTAAGACTACCAGGGCTATGTCTGCATCATGCATTAATCATTGGGATAACCCTCACCACGACAGACATTTATTTGAATGTGTGGGTCAGAAGATGTTGCCATGGTCTGTGAAAACAGAATCAGAAAGAGAAGCGATGGCCTTTCCATGACTCTCTATGATCTCAGTTATCAGCCATCAAGAGGTGAGGAGAGGGGCACTAGGAAATCAAGGGGTCACTTCATTTCCCCCATGTTGAAATACCTTTACTCACTAGGGAGTGATAAGC